CCTGACAGATGCTGGCAAACTGTGCGGGTCGGGCTGGCACGCGCTGGTGGAAATGGCTGGGTGTTTGTGGAACATGAGCCCTCTACCTAGCGTCTGCACCCAAAGCTGCCGTCCCACGGAATCCTGGGCCTCTGGCCAGATCCACAAACTCTTGACTGTGGGTCACCCCCTCAATCTGGCCTGAGGGTGGCCTCCCCAGCTCATAGGCCTTGCCTCAAGTTGGTGTGCCGGGCAGGGTCCCCTGCGCTGCTTTGTGGGATCAGGAGTGGGCGTCTAGGCAGGTAGACCTGGGACATGGCGAGGCACAGCCAGAGCTGGTCCCAGGGGTCCCGGTCATGCCCCTGGAAAATGGGCAAGGCCTGACTGCAGAGAAGAGAGTCACCTGCACAGAGAGGCAGAGATGCAGAGAGGTCCTCCCCCGTGCCAGACACTCCTCAGGGTCGCATGTCCTTGGAGTCCACCACCACTCAGTGTCCTATCAGAAAGCTCCCTGGAGCTCCCTGGAGGAGGTTGCTGGCACTCACAGCTTCTTGCCCCTCGTCCTCACCTGCTGTGCCTTCACAGCCCCCAATAGCTGCCATCAGTGTAAGGTGTGGCACTCACCCTGGTCCCTCCTCAAGTCAAGCAAACTCCCCCCACTGAGGTCCTAGAGGACATCTGATGGACACCTGTCAATCCACTGGTGTTGCCCTCTTTCCTCTCCCTTTGGGGCACAGGCCAGAGGTGCAGGGCAGTGGTGAGAGGATTCACCAGAGACAGAGTGGGGAGCAGGACAGGCAGATGGACTGAAATACACTGCTGAGGGGAGCAGCGGGCGGGATAGGAGAGGTCTGTCGCGCATGTGGTCACCTCCCTGGCTGGGATTGAACTGGTGCTGCAGTGGCCACAGAGAGCTTCACAGTGCTGGGCCCTCCCTGAGTGCTCTTCTTAGCCACACCTGCCACATGTGGCACCTCCGTGTCTCCTTGACTCCAATTGGTAGTGATCTTTGATGCTGATGTGGGGCTGAGTGACACGTGGCAGCTGCTGGGTTGCAGCTCGATGCCAGCTCTGGGGAACTCCAGTGAAAACAACTGGCAAGGCCACAATGGTGTGCGCCAGACCCAGCCCTCCTCGGCAGCCTGTGGAGATAGGAAGGAAAGTCCAGGGCGTTTGCATCACGGGTGACACACTCCTGACGGCTGGCCCCATCCACCATCCTGCGGACACGTGTGTGGTCCTCCCGTCAGCCCCAGCGTTGCCCGTGAGTGGGCAGAGGGCTTTTCAGGGTCTCCCAACCAGGCCCGCGAGTCCTTTTTCCAGGTCAGGTTTCATTAAGCCCAGAAGGACTTTCCCTTCGACTCAGAGTCTCCATGACTAAACTCACAGCCTGGGTAGCAGACAGCCTTTGCTGGGACCCCGATGGTCCCCTGGCCTGTCCCTTCCTCCTGTGTGCGTCTCAGTCCTTTCCCAGCCAGGACCTCCCAGATGCCCGTGTTGCCCCTGACATATTTTATTCAAATACAAATGCTAATTTTTGGAAATTAGATTCTATGATTGCACCATGGTGGAAAAATTGATAAAAAAAGTAAGCTTTTCTCTCTGTATTGTTGGCCCTTACATGAATAATATTAGGTACTTGCTAATACCCAGGACCTGCTCTGTGCCAGGCTCTGCTCTAATCGTTTTCCATATATTGACCATTTGAGGCTCATGGTAGCCCTGAGGGAGAAAGATGCCATTACCCGCCCCCCATACCCATTCTGTTTTATAGGAGGGAGCTGAAAACAAGGTCATATGAAAGGGTTGAACCCGGCCCAAATGGCCCCTGCACCAACCTACAAGCTAGACTCAGTCTTCTCCTGGGCAATCCAGGCCAGGGAGCCGGGGGGTGGAGGGTGTGTGTGTGTGTGTGTGTGTGTGTGTGTGTGTGTGTGTGTGTGTGTGTGTGTGTGTGTGTGACTGTAGCTCAGAGAGGCAGGGCGACTTGCTCAAGGACACACAGCCAGTCAGGTTCAAGCACATCTGTCCCAAGGCAGAGTTGGTGCTCATCCCAAGCCCAGCTCCCTAAGAAGGACTCATTGTTTTTTTACTGACATTCTGTTCAGTTCCTGGCACTGTGCTGTGTTTTCACATAGTTTTTGTAAAACACATCTGCAAATTTCTTGACCTCCTGCTCTCATTGAGAAGTGTGAGCATGTCCCCTCTCCTTGACCCCAGGCAGACTCGATGATTCAGCCACGCGTATGGCACAAGAGCCACTGTGACTTCTGATGTGAGGTCCACAAAGGTCATGCTGTGACCTTCCACCTGTCCTCGTGTGAGGCTAGTTTGGGGGAGGTGGCTCACCAACTTGAGGCTGCTTCCTGGAAAGGCTGTGTTGGGGGGTGCCTCAGGCGATTGCCCTGATCGGCTCCCACCACATGGGGAAGCCACTTGGATGTCAGGTCCCCTGTAGATGTCTACAGCCCTAATCCACATCTCTCTGCAGCCACACAGTCAACCTCTCAGGAAGAACCTTCCCGAGTATCCTGACCTGCAAATTAGAAGCAAAATAAAATAGTTCCTTTAAGCCACTGTGCTTTGGGACAAATGGTTTCACTGCTATAGTAACTTGACATTCCATTTGAGAAGGGTTAACCTGACCAAGATATTAAAGATGAAGGGCTAGCTCAGAAATGCCCATGCCGCAAATCCTAACCCTCAAACGCCTTCAGGCCACCTGGCTTGGTGGCTGTGGTCCAGGAATCTGGCCCTGGGCTGCCTGAGTTAGAGTCCCAGCACACACCCGCCCCTCATAGCCAAGTGACCCCAGCAAGTAGGAAGTAGAGGAGTGGGATTTGAACCCCACTCACCTGGTTCCACGCCTCAGTTTCCCCATCTATAGACGAGGCTGGCAACAGCCCCTCCCCCACCAGGTTGTGTTCTGCTCACACATCCATGCCAAGCCCTGTGTCCAGGGCCCCACACAGATGCAGGTTACTGGAAGTCAGAGCAGGGGCCCCAGTCTGAGGCCAGGCAGATGAGAAGCCAGGGGCTGAGGAGGAGGAGACTACAGAGGGAAAGGAAAGGAGAAACTGGGGGAAAGGAAGGCTCCGTGGGGTGCAGTACCTGGTACAGTGGCTGTCGGGCTGGTGGGAGTTGGCATCTGGGCTGGAGGGTGACTCTGTAGAGAGCCGCTCCCAGGTTCAGCTCTGCCCACAGTGTCCCTAGGGCACCCAGAGCCACGGTGCACCAGCAAGTAGCTGCAGAGTTGCCACCAAAAGTTAGTGGTCAGCAGGTGGTGGTCCAAGGCAGCAGAGCAGCGGACACTCCCGCCCAGCAGCCTGGCCTGCGAGGAACTGGATCCCGTGCACCTTACCCGCTGTTGGTGGCAAGTTTATTCCTCTTTCCTGCACCCAAGGTTTATCAGCTCTCAGAGCCTAGCTCTGAGTAGGCGAGACTATAAGTTCAAATCCCATTTCTTCCACTCGGGAGCTGTGTGGCCATGGGAAAGATGCTTATCCTCTCTTTGCCCAGCTTTCCCATGATAAAATACCAGCCTGAGAAGGTGGTTGGTGGTGAGGGGCATGGCAGGAGGAAGTATATGGGGCAGCTACCTGGGAGGCAGCACTTACAACTCATGTCTCTTCTCTCCACCCTTTTTTTTCAAGGACAGTGGTTAGGAACAGTTTATATTATTCACTGCTGAATGCCACAGTGCTTGGAACAGCACCTGGCACATAGTAGGTTTAATAAGCACTGGATGAATGATTGTTGAGTTGAGAACAAGCTTCAGTAACAGAAATTTAAAAAAGATAGCAGGGTGTCTGCATTATTCTTTATCTGTACCTGTGCTGCACCAAAATCTTGGGCACGGATTTCCAACTCTGACACGGTCACAGGTGCCCCTCCAGTGGACAAGGGGTCCTCTTCCCTCACCCACCCTGCTCACTTCCACCTTTGCTCCCCCACATACACTGACCCAGACTCTGAGACCCAGAGGGGTCCTGTCTGCCCAGCTCACTGCCCAGCACAGGCAGTGGGAAGCGGCTGGCTGGGAATGTGTGGATGCTGTGACTTCCCTGTCTGCTGCCCGAATGAGCAGCGTGAGGAGAGGCTCCCTTCTGCCTGCACTCAGTAGGCCCGCACTTGTGCCTGAGCGGAGACTAAGGGTCCTTTGGCTTCTCCAGCCAGCAAGATTTCTTCACCTGCCAACGGGGGATTTGGATTTATTTACGTATTTCAAAACCCATGTCTTCTGACTCTAAAGGCGGGGAGGTATTCACAGGTTCAGGCTCAGCCCCCCAAGTGTCTGTGGACAAAAGTAGGAAGATCAGGGGTGGAGCACGCCCGAGTGGCTCCTCACAAGCTGCAGGACTTAGGGTGTTCAATTCTCCAAGCCTCAGCCACCGCATCAGTGAAACTCCATGCTGGAGTCCTGTGAACACAATCTAGGATATTGAAGCAAATTATGTAGGCTGCACTGGGCTTTTACTGCCCTCCTCCGGCAATGCTTCCCAGGCTTCCCTCCTCCATCAGCACGTGGAGAGGGGAATGTGTATGTGTGTGTGTTTCTATTCGTGCGCGTGTGTGAGCGCACAGACGTGGGAAGTTTCCACGCACGTGTAGATGGTGGAAATAGACATAGCACGCGTGTGTTCTGTGCCACAGTGTGTGGAGCCATCCATGCCCTTCCCTGTTTCGGGTGCTCCGTCGTCCGCGGTGGCCTCCCTATTCCCAATTCCAGTGGAGCCGCAGAGATGGAATCTGGCAAATTTGCAAGCCGGTGGTGGAAAGTGCTTGGCATCGCGCCTGGTGTATTCTAAGCCTGAACCATCTTTTCGTCTCGGGCTCTTGCGCGGATCGCCTCTCGCGCTCCAGCCGCCCCGGCGCGGGCGGGCGCACGCCCGGGTGGCCGCTGGTGAGCCGGGCGGAGTGGGGCCGGGGCGGGGCCAGCGAGGGTGGTGGGCGTGGCCTCGAGACGCCCGCAGTCTATAAAAAGTGCTCCGCGGCCGCGGGGACCCACTTCAACTCTGGGCGGCCCCTGTGTCTAGGGTTCAGCGACCCGCCCGTCCGCCTCAGGAGACCCCGGTGAGCTGCAGAGGTAAGTGTGCCAGAGACTCTCCTCTCTGCAAGCGGCGATCTTATTGCTACAAATCCCAGGAGCGGGGGTAACAGACATCCTCTAGTGTGCAGGCAGGCGTACTGCGTGCGGGTTCTCTGTTCTCACAGCACTGAAGCTAGGGAGGGCTCAGAACTCTTCTGGCGCCAGATCCGTGCTCTAGGCAGGGGCCTCTTGCCTCCCCCTTACGATTGTCTAGCATCTGTTGGCGTTCCTTTGTTTGCCGTGGGAATAAACGGGGAACCGATGGCATGGAGGTGGCAGGAGTTTGAATACGTTCCACTCACGTGTGTAGGGCCAGGGAGGTCTAAAGGGTGCTTGCACCCTGCACTTGACAGGGACACGCCCCTTTGCAACCTGCAAGCTGTGAGGTAGCCTTCCTCTTCCAGGGGTGAGGTGAACTGTCCAGGATGAACCAGGGCTGGAACCAGCTCTGTTTGCCCCCAAAGCTCCAGATGAGTGTTTCCAGGCATGGGACATGTCCAGAGCTCAGACAGATTCAGAAGCGACTCCCGGTGTCTCTCCAGCCAGAGTGGGTATCTGCATTAACACCTTGTGCAGGGGAATTGTGCTGGGCACCAAGGCTCAGCCATGAGCTCTTTAGGAGATTTGCTAAAAGGGATGCACAGAGCCAGGGCCACAGACCCAGGCCTCCTAGCCATCAGCTGGGCTAGTGGACGAGCCAGGAAAGACTTAGTTGGTCCTGCTTACTGGCACCTTCTAGCTGCTGGGGAGCTGCAGTTGAGACTGAGAAAGCCTGTGCCCAGCCCACCTGGCAACTGAGTGCTGTGGCGGCGTGGCGAGTTTCCACCTTCAGCTTTAAGGCCCCTTGCTCAGGCAGAGTGCGGAAGCCTACCTTCTCCCATAAGGTGGGCATCTGTGGTCTGCAGTCTGACCTCACCTGTTAGGTGAGGGGCCAGGTACTATAAAACAAGACCGGGGCATGCTTTCCACCCAGACCAAGCAGCGACACCCCATAATGCGCTGTGTATAAGCCAGTGTGCTGCTTCTGATCTGGCTGTTTTCAGTTTGGGGGAGGAGCAGAAGGTGTAGAAGCTGTATTGCCAGTGGGACAGGCACTTTACCTGCATGAACATACCTGCAGCAAACCTGGGCAGGAGTTCTCTTGATCTGTTTCATAGATGAGAAAACCGAGAGTGAAAGAAGTGAAGTGTGTGCCCAAACCCCCTGGCTGGTGTGCCTGCTGTGACCCCAGCGGCCCGTCTGCAGACCCTGACTCTGCACTCTTAACTGCTGAGCCCTGACCCTTTAAAGCACTTCTCCAACCACTACCTAGGCCATCCAGGAAAAGGGCTGTCAGGAGAGTTGCAGTCAGCGCAGAAGTCCCTGGCAGTGCACGTGGGGCGAAGGAAGGAATGTTGTACTTTTTAGTGTGAAACACTGAAAATAACATCTGTCGTTGCAGCCGCTGACATTGACCTGGTTCTTATTATAAGCTCGGGATTTTTACCTGGATGGCCTCTGTCTTCTTTATAAGGTGAATGCTGGACCTTCCTCCTTTTCACAAGGAAAAATGGAGATTGGTTCAGCACTCAGAATGATTAAAGCCTGTGCTCAGCATCACAGCCTTGGAGCCTGGGAGAGCCACCGCCCAGACTCTGTAGACTCTGGAAGAAGGTGCTGCTCCAGTCGCTAGGCATGTGACAGCCGTCGCTGGGTTGGCCGCTAGCAAGGCATCTTGTGCTTCCTGGCATCTGGGTTCTTGGCCCCAGTTAGAGGGGGTGCTCTGTCACTGGACCCACAGGTCCCCAGTTTCACTTCTCAGTAATCCCTGCCCTCGGGCCCAGGTGTGTGCTGCCCCCTGGAGTCCTGCCTCCAGACTGGAGAGCAGAGCTGGTCTGAGGTCTCTGAGGGCTCAGGGCTTGGTGCCCTCCTGCAGAGACCCCCACTGGGTGGCTGAAATGTTGTAGGTTGCATCAGAAAGTGGGAGTTTAAAGGCAGGACCCCGAGAATGCTGACCTTTCTGGCTTTGCAAGAGCTGGACCATTACTTTTCCCTGTCACCAGTGTGATTTACTTTGTATGGGAGGTGCCTCTGTGTCTGCTTGCTTGCTCCTGACCTTTTTTTTTTTTTTTTTTGCAAACTCACTGGTTTTTGATCAGTCCCAGATGTGCAAGGGGCTAATGGCTTGTCAAGAAAGGAAAACACAACCCAGGCTTCATTTCATTTCACTTTAGCTTTAGTTCATTGAGCTGAATAGATCCTCATTCCTTTGTGCAAGGGGAAAAGGAAGCTGGGATCCTCAAGAAGGCCTCAAAGGAGCACCCTCTGTCTGGAGCAGGAAGACTGGGTGGTGGGCAGCAGGCCTTTTTCTTTTCCCCCCTTAAAATACTTTGTTTTATTATGATCAAATATGTATAAATATTTAATCTACCATTTTAACCATTTTAAAGAACATTCAGTGGCTTTTAGTATGTTGGAAATATTGTGCAACCCTCACCACTCTGTAATTCCAGAACATTTTCATCATCCCAAAAGGAGACCCCATCATTAGCAATTATTCCCCATTCCATCCTCCCCTACCTCTGGCAACCACTTATCTTGCTGTTTCCATGCATTTGCTTGTTTTAGATACTTCACATGAATGAAACTATATATTGTAGCATTTCATGCCTGGTTTTTCTTTCTCAGCATGGAATTATGTCTACCCATGTGGTAGTGTTGGTTCTTTTTCACGGCCGAGTAATATTCCACGGTCTGGAGCCCATTCTGTTTATCCATTTTTCCGCTGATAGAAGTTTGGGCTGCATCTCCCTTTTGGCTATTATGAGTAGTGCTGCTATGCACTTGCATGGGCAGTTTTTGTTCTCAACACTTGCTTTTAAATTGTTTGGGGCCTGTGCTTAGGAGAGCCATTGCTGGGTCACCTGGCAGCTGATGTTGATTGAGCTGGAGGCACCTGGGTCCCTGCTTCTTGACTTCCTCTGGAATAAGCACTAGCATAGGTCAGCTTATCCCAGATATGACAAGATGCTCTGCCTTGGGCACAGGGACACCCAAGTCTGGGAAGTTTGGGAGAGGTGTTGACAATTTACCCTGGGTTACAGCAGCAGCTGGCAGAGATGTTGCCCTTCAAGAGACCCAATTTGTCCCCTGTGTGTGCCCTCGTGGGCACACCCTTTTCAAGGCTGAGAACATATAGTTTTTCTCAGGACAGCCTGAGGGAGATTTATTTCTCTTATTGTCTCCAGTGCTGCGTCAGCTTAGACAAAAACCACAGATTCAGGAGGAAAAGAAAAGCCTGATGAGGATTATGCAACCTTTGGACTAAGACTTAAAAAAATATTATAAATTATAAAATCCCACATTTTCAACCCAAGTTTCTGGACTGTCTTCCACTGTCAGTAGAGAGAGGCAGTATCCTAGAGGAAGAGCATCCAGTTCCCCTTTCGCCCGGGAACTGACCTGCTCCATGTCCTTTGGGTTGGAAGCCTGGCCCGGATGTCCCAGGGGTTGGGAGCTGGTCTTCTGCTGGCCCCTGCTAAGTGTGGAGGAAAGCCTAGAAGTCCTTCTAGAGCAGAGAGCAGACTTTCCTGGCAGGGGAAGGTTAGAGTGGGTAGGAGGTGGGAGGGGAGCGATACCAAGCTGTACAAACAGGGTCCCTGGGTGTACAGGACCCATTCGTAGGGGAAGGCCCAGTCAGTACCCTGGGGGAATAGCAACAAGCTCAGTGTGGCTGGACTCTGGCCAGGATCAGGGGCATCAGGTCAGCTCTGAGGTTGCAGGGTGCAGGAGAGTTGGGTGGGGGGGGAGAGGGAGGGCACTGGAGAAGAGGACACTCCAGAACAAGTAGTATCCCCAAAGTGTGGGGGGCTGGTCACTGCTAGTCCCCCAGGGGACAGAGCTAGCTGCCCCCAAAATTTGCCACCCCAAATCCCTTCATAGCGGAGAGAGCGCTCCCTACCCCAAAGCCTTTGGCTCTCTAGTGCCTCCCGGGGGCACTATTTTGCTGCTTCCCTCATGTTCGGCCTCACTCATGCTGTGTGTTCCTGGCAGACTTGATCAGACTCCTTGCACATAGTGGCAGTAGAAAGTTGCCTTTTTAAAGTAAATTTATTTGAACCCCCAAAGTGTGCCAACTTGAATAAAAATACAAAGTATGTACCAGCACAGGCAAGGGTAGGAAGGTGGGCTGAGCCTGGGCAGGGGTGTGCTGCAGGTTGGAACTTGGGCAATGCTGGAGTGAGCTGGGAAATGAGAGTGAAGTGGCTTTTCTGCTCTAGAGTGGCAGTTCTCAAGCTGGAATCCTTGGACCAGTAGCCACAGCAGCTGGGGACACTTAGAAATGTAAATTCTTTGGCCTGGCCCAGTCCTCTGGAGGTGGGGCCAGCAATCTGCATTTTTTTTAAAAAAGATTTATTTATGCATACAGAACTGGGGTATGAGCCAGAAGTGCAGGGGTAGTGAGCGGATTCACCAGAGACAAGTGGGGAGCAGAACAGGCAGGTTGATGAAGTACACTGCTGAGGGGAGCAGCGGGCGAGACAGGGGGAGACAGAGGTCTGATGCGCCATGTGGGTCACCCTTGGGACGGAACCTGTGCTGAAGCAGCTGCAGCTAGCTTCAGAGTACTGTGCTTTAACCCCTTGCGCCACCAGGGAGGGCTCCACCTTTCCCAACTTTTTTTTCTTTTATGTCTTTTTTACATTATTCTTCATTTTGTACATTTTTCCATCTCAGCTGCAATCCCCGTGAACATCCCACCACCACTTCACCCGTGTGCTGGCCCACAGTCCCATGTGCTCTTGCCACCCCAGTTTTGATCTTGTTCCTCTCCTCCCCCGTAGAATGTCTCTGGTTTATAGTTGTTAGATGATGTTCTTTTTTACTTTATTACAATTACTATACACACATATATATTTTTTCCTTGATCCCTTACACTCATACTATGAGTGAAACCATCTGGCATTTTCCCTTTTCTTTCTGGCTTATCTCACTAAGCATGAGCCCTCCCAGCTCCA